AGTATGTAAGCTATTATCAATCTTCGAAAAAAAAAAGTCTGACTTCAGTATCTACATTTGTCGAGTATAACACGTTAACCCAATTTTAACTACCCAGAGAAAGTTTAAGTAATCAAAAAGTATATAATCAATTTTTTTAATATTTGAAATATTATTGTTTTGTATAGTTAAACCGATTTTATTTAAAGATAGAACTGTACTATAGTGATCAGTTATATTATTTTGACATACGTACCTAATTATATTATCAACATCATTTACATTATTTAAAAAAAAAAATGTGATCAATACAAGTTGAAGACCCATTCATAATATTTACTATAGTATATTTATTTATGCAATATTTAAATACATAAAAACCTAGAATATTTAGGTACCCTTACTGAAACTCAGTCCACTTTATTTAAATCAATACTTATATCACTACAGAATATATACGAGATATTATTAACAATACCATCCGGAAAATTTCTAAATTATCTAAAAAATTTTCTTAAAGTAAGTAAACTTGGAGGCCGATAAACACAAATTAAATTTAGAGTAGTACCATTATACACAATATTAAGATTCAACTAAAGAAATTTATCTCACCTAAATTTACCGATTTAATTTTTATTGAGTTTCTAACGAATACTGTTATACCATCTGATTTGTTGAATTTTAAAAAAGTTAATTTTAAATTGTACTTAGTGATCAAAAATTACGAAGTAGAATGCGGTATCAACATTTTTTTTTTTTCAAGATGGTTTTAAAATCGAATTTTGAAAATCGAAAATATTACGGTATTTTAAATCATGGATACACGAACATCGCTTAAAATCGTTTTTAGTTCACAATGGTTTATCGTTGCTTATTACAGTTATGAATTGAATAACTTTATATATTCTTTTTAACTTTTCTACCTACAACATTAGTGCATCCATTAGGATAGTCATAGGATGTGTAGGGGCTGAGGAGGTTAAACTGTATTTTTGTACACATATTTTTGCAAAAAAAATAAGGGAGTAACAAGAAAATATTTTACTGTATGCTCATTTTCAGGAAAGCTGTAAGAAATGTTGAGGAAGCTAGAGAAAATTATATGGGATTATCCCACATCCTACGCCTATGCCCATCAGTAGTATGTGCTTTTTTTATATTAGTTTTACAGCTGCAGTATAATAATATAAAAGTATAAGTAGTAATACTATCTATGTTTACGTCTTTGAAATGCGATTTTAAAAAGACATTATATATTATAATATTAAAAAAACGTTTAAAGAACATTACCGCAAGAGAATCGAGGGAATCACGTACATTTAACATATAACAATATCGTAAAAATACACATGCGAATTCGTGGAAAGCTGATGTCGTTATAGTATACGAAATGTTTCGATGTAACAGTATTTTAAAAAATATTATACAATACGAACGCTGTGTTATTTGTATTACCATTACTAAACTATAGGTATGATGGTGACTTTGGTTACGCAGCAGTCATGGCTCGCCGCTGGCACAGATTTTGTCATTCGTTACATGTATTAGCACAGAAATCCGGTGATAAAAATTACTGCCATTTGAGTTTTCTTCCAATTAATAGTTAAATTGGTGTGTATACAAACCATAGACATATTAATAAATATCCCGCGTATTCTATGACGTTTGTGTATAATGTCGTATGCCAACTAGATATGAGATTTGTGGATGAAATACATTTATATGTTTTCTCCTTCGGCTTCAACCTAATTATTTAGTATCTCGACCAACTTTCATATTTTTATTATACGAAATTGATGATGAATATCACTTTAATTTCGTGGTGTAAATACAAATATTAAACAATTTCTTCCATGGCTGCCCGCAACTAGTACAAACACTCTAGTCTCTCAATAAATGTTCGCTGTTTTCTTCCTTGAGGTTAACAAATGTGCAGTTCATATGGAAATGACACATTTGTTTTTCTGACCTAACCAATTTACACACGAGTAGATACGATAACATTTTAATATAAAATTTCGATTGTCGAATGTCGCATTTTATTATGTAAACGACCATAAACAAACGTCAATAAATATTAATATTGCGTTACATAATCATTTACTGTTAATGCGTCGATAACGTATTAATAATAACTGGGACATTATAATATTATAATTATAGTATCGATATGTGACCATAATGGACAGTACGTTTTGAAACATCAACTATTCGACTATACATTCTTCCGCCGAAAGTAAACAGAAACAAATTGATTCTCGTTAATATTTATATACGGGGGAGCTAAACGGTTTTAATTGTGTTTGCTTTCAATCCTAACCCTCCCCGACTTCTACAACCTCTACTACCACTCTCGCGGTACTGCGCTCCAAAAATATTCGCACTTAAGCGCCGTCGTCGGTATAATTTAAATATTTAACGAAGTAGGTAAGTGTCGTTATTATTATTATAAGCTCACTATGCCGGTCCCTGTGATTTCTGCATCTTCGTTTCGCCGGCCGTTGTTGTTGTTATTATTATTATTACTATCGCAGTCATCATTAAGAATACGAACGATTAAAATGTAATTTCGCAAAATGTTTTCCGAAAGCCATTAGGGCGGCGCGTACTTGACAGTGCACGCCTTTTGCTTTAGCAGCACTCCGCCGCTGTCGAGACAATGAAGGGTCAGACGGTATGGACGACGAGGACATCATTGTTGCAGACATGATATTACTAAAACGACCGAATAAATTGAACTGAGAATGAAAAATTTAACGACATCGTTAGGTTATAAAACTAAATTAGTTAGATTTGGAGTGTAAGGGAGGTGTTTTAGTGGCGTGTTTTTTTATTCTAAGCGATTTCAGTCTAGAGGTATACTCAGGGCTTTTATTCAGGGGAAAGAAAGGATAGCTTCTAAGGCATTTTTATTTGCATGGCAATAATATAAAGAAGTACAGATATTCTTGTCCTATGATTCGTTTATTATAATAGTACCCGATTGTTTTATTTAACTTAATCATTTTTAAGAAATTAGATCCGTAGTCTTCCCTCTAGGAAACACCACTGTGATACAAGCGAAACAATATTTATTTCCTAGTAAACTATTTGTACCTTTTAACAGATTATTATTATTTTCTTTTTTTAAATTCTAAGTAAATATTTATTCAATTAATCCAATAGGAAAAATTTATCTTGGACAAAATCCAATGACACTTAGATATCTGAAGTTTCGAACAAATCAGTAGGTGGGCAAAAGGTCAATACCAATTCGATGCCGGGTTTTTCAATAATTTCAATTTACGGACATATAAAAAACCTCAATATAAGAGACCTCAAGTTATCGTCATAACGTTTTGTCCGAAAAAGCAGCCAATTAAATAAAAGATCATTCGAATTCTATGCCAAATTATTGTTGGTGAAATATTCAATGATTTTTTTATTATAATTTATTTGAGCACCCTTCTTATTCTCCTCTCTATTGTTAACTATGACATCCGTATGAATTGAACTTAATGACCAAAATTGAGGTATGCGTTAAACTAAACTACCGCTGTGATTCTGTTTTTTTTTTTTTTTTTTTTGAAGCAATATAGTAATACATTTGAATTCTACCGTAATATTTTGCGTTCTCGTTTTATTAAAAATATTATTAAAAATATTATTAACTATTTTTTTTTTCTTTTATATTTTGTCTATTTATATTAAATATTTTTAATTTAAATCGTAATGGTGTGGTAGATTTAAATTATACACAGTGGCGAAACCAATGGGAGGTTTGGGGATTATAATTCCCCTCTCTCAAGAAATTTGAGAGTATTTTACAAATTATATAATATGTTACTTAAATAATTTGTTTAATCGGATATTTACGATATTTACTTGAAAATCTAAATACATATGTATCGTAGTCACCCGTGTAAAACGTTTTATAATTTATTGCCATTGATTGTATACGCATTTTTTGGATTATATTGTTTTGGAAACGATAACAATATGTTTAAGTTTTGATGGTATTTTGTACGGAATAGTATTCAAAATAGGAATTTCCGAAAGTGGAAATTTTAGTTGACTTGTTCGGATATCGCAGTATATATAAGTTTTCGAAATTTGAATTTTTCCTATCGGCTGTGTGTAACATTATAGGTAGTACAGCACCACAAACTGACCGAAAATGGAAATAATCAGCTTCCCAGTTCCGTAAGTACTTACAATGGTACATAACCGTCAACGGCATAAACGCAACTAACCGACGATGACTGCGTCTGACCGGTCGACGGACTGCGGTGACTTGTACGGCTTGTGTGCGACGCGCACGAAAAGAGTTATCGTCGTGGAAATAAGGTAAAAGAACAAATTCCATTTGTTATCCGGCGACGCGACAAAAAGAGAAAAAGAGAGATACATTGATAGAAAGAGAGAGAGAGAGAGGGAAATAGAAAAAAAAAATTAGAAAAGAGACGACCACCAGATAACCACTCGCGTATTAAAATAATAATTATAATAATAAAATTATTATTATTATAAACGGCCGCGTGCTTTGTTTTCGCAATTTATATACGGTTACCTACCTACGCCGCAATCTCGTTCGGTTAACAATAATGGCACCCACACACAAAACAAATTATATCGGCAAAGGCGTGTTTTTTTTTCCTTGCACATAAATTTAATTGTTGAGAACGGCGAAAAGTCTTTCAGAATACTGTACGTCACGCCGCAATAAGTTCGTCGAGGTACAACTGGCGGTATAGTTATATTTCAAAATCAGAGACGGTGGTTCTCGGGTATTTCGAGGAACTGGAAAAAATGTATTGTGTTACGAAAGTCACGTAATGTTACCTACATATTTTTAATTTTGAGGGACACAATGGGAAACCAGTGTTCGTCCGGTTTATGGTACAAAAATTACGAACAAAAAATAAATATACACTTCTACACCTTCGTATCTTACTGAAGAAACAATTTTAAATACCTACCTATCTTATGTATCTATTTGTCTAAATTATGCATGCTCATCACGTATGTTGTTGTGATATTAAAACCCAATAGACGAAATGTAATAAAAATTAATTTATAAATCTATATAGGTAATAATGGCTAAATCAAACAAGGCTATAATACCAAAACGTGTCCCGGCGAAAATATTCAAGTGAGTAATAACTACAGATAAACAACGCAGAAACACATACACAGAATCATTTAATTACCTACCCACCACAGTACCTGCCATGCCCAGTCTGATAATATTATGTATCACTTTTACTTCAATTTCATATCATGATGATATACGAATCTACTGTTCTTCGATACAAAATTATTGTAACGTTCAGTTAATTTATACTTCGTGTAATGTAGAAGATAACAAGACAAATTAAGTAAAAGAGAAAATGTCGTATTATTAGCAATTTTCAATGAATAGGTCATTTAAGAAATTCAAAAAAATTATTTAAGTTCCTTATCAATTTTTGTTTTTAATAAATAAATTATAAAAACCTTAAAACCTGACAATTTATAACGTTTAAAAATGTTTTACAATGTTTCTTTCACTTCTGAAATATAGCTTATTATGACTTGTTTACCACTCCAAATGTGTCCAGTCTGTCTTATCATTCCGCCACCCGTGTCCAAAATATAGTATTACAATAATCTGCATCGTTGTAACTTTCAGGTATTTCATTCCGAATGATATTCGCGATATCCATATAACGTTTTTTTTAAAACAATTGATATATTTGACTTAAATCTATCCTTTTATTCGAGTACATGTTTCGTTAGCAAATTTTTCAGAATTTTTCTAATATTAATATATTCTGGGTACAAATAAAAATAAATATCACAATAATTGGTTTCTAATATTTTTATAATATCAGTACAATATTCGGTATAATTAATTGATACGAATATTATGAGTATATAGAATCACTCCCCAGCTATATAGGTACTAGTAATAATTGTACTTGAACAAATCAAGAGTGAAATTATCTATAGCCAATGGATAATATTTTAATTGAGAAATATGTGGTAGTTCGGTACTTATGCACAAAATATATAACAACTAAAAACGTTGGCGTGACCATGGGCATTCATGGGTAAGAGAGACAAGAAAAGACATTTCTCCCTGTGAAATATATAATAAACATATAATCGATGATTTTTCTTAATCATTGATTCACAGTGTCCCTCCCCTGAAAATTATCATATTGGAACCCACGAAAACCAGTATTCATTATAAAGGGGAGATTTATTTCAAACAAATTGTCAACCAAGTTTTTGGGATAGAAAATAAATAGTTTTATTGTATCACGACGAGCATATATTTAAAACTATAAGGAATTATAAGTATTATACATATGGAATTCACAAAATATTACTTTTATTAATACTATTATTATAAATTCATACGGATTATTATTTATTACGGATACATATATATATATATATATAAATATATATACATTTTTTTTTGTGGAGGAGGGAATATTCTTCATATTTTATTAGCTATATATTTTTATTTTTTCCTTGAAAAACATTTGGTTCCAGAAATTACTCTTGAAGTTGATGGTTGGACCGTGATTTTTTGTTGAGATTTATTTTATAAACCAACGCAAAAAAATAAAAATAAATACAAACAAATATAGTAAAATAAACGCATTCATCGCTTTGCTCAGAATCTATGAAACAGAAACAGACCATTAAAGCTTTTAAAACCTCTTGGAATTATTACTTGATATTATCCTGCACGGCAGATAGTAATCATAAATATTGAATGTTCCAAGACTTATAATATTTAGGATTTAACTCCAAAAAAAATAAAAAAATTACGTTTTTTCTCGTATCGTATTAATTTAATTTACCGTATAAATGATTTGCATAAAATAAAAGCGACAACATATCCAATTAGCAACGGATAATATAAATATTACGCCGAGACATCGGACATAACATAATTTTAGGAGTTTCTAAACGTTAACGCTGTTGGATACATAATAATATCATGTTAAGAAATAGGATCAGATATCGACCTAAAAAAGTTGTTGACGCCTCATCATCCTCGTATTGCGTTTCACGATACAAAACTAAGTGTTATATCCACTCAAAATTACACTATATATGTACCGATGAGAGTGCAAAAATAAAAACCCGAGAAATAAGTGTATACAAATTTATTTGAGCGACGAATATTGCTTTAAGATACAACAAAATTACATTGGAAAAAAAAAGGAGTTGATACAAAGGTCAGAAGTCCTTTATTGGTGGAAAGTCGAGAAGGTAGGATACACAAAGTTCTTTGATTTAGATCTGAAATCAACGATAAACTACTGCTAATGAGAAACGATTCGGAGCGAAATTCGGTTATACATGTTTTGTAAAGTCGTAATGTTTACGATTAAATTCAAAATCTGCTTTTAAAACAATAAAGAAAAACACTCAACATTTTTTCGTTGACCACTAAGCACGACTATTATATTAGATCTTTTGTGAAATGTTCAATAATTCTTGTTTAGTCTAACAATTATTTCCACAGAGTACCTACCAAATAAAAATTAGGTAAAAATAAGGAAATTCAAATTGATTATAAATAGCTCAAAAATAGATTAAGAACTTTACTACGTCTAGAAATAGCAAATATAAGTTTTCTGTCAAAATTTCAAGTCTGTATAAATATTTTTGACTGAATTACATGACAAAAAAAAAAACAAGCAAAATCATCCTACAGCTTTCTTTTTCACTAACTTGATTAAAAAGAACATAGATCAATTGTGGTTTTTCTATTCAAGCATTATTTCTGGTAGAAAATTTAGGCCGTCAAAATTTAAAATAAAGAAATCCTTACACGCGTAAATTTATCAGTGTTCATTTTTCTTCTTTTTCAGATTTGTCTAAATATATGATGAAAAAAAAATACTTGAAAACTATAAAAAAAAAAAATAACTTACTCACCAACAAGATAAAATAGGTTGATGTAACAAAAAATGTCCCATGTTATTTGGAGCGTTTAAACTGAAGCAATATTTTTGGAAGAACACATTGTGCGTATAAATTGGAAATAATTAAATAGGTAATATCGTAAACCGTAAACTTGTTTGTTTTTCCCCCCGGTTTTTTCCAGTTATTAAAACAAACTACAAGGAAAATCAAAAAACTACCTTTAAGTCACCAACTACATTTTAAAAATGCAACAAGAAAAGACAATAGGTATTTTTATTTTTGATTATAGTTATATTTCTGGAAGAAAATATAGTTTGCAAAAATTAAAAACAATGAAATCAGTTACTCTGCAGCATGCCGTAAATATTTGCTATTATACTTATGATATTTTTTTAGTTAAAAATTATTTAATTATAAACAAATAATTTTGAAAGCCTCTTAGAAAATCAAAAAAAAAAAAAAAAAAAAAAAAATGACCTCACTAATGCACTAACAGGATCAAATATCCTTTCAAAAAATGAGCCACATTCCATTTATCGGAAACAAATTACTTTTAGAAAAATTGTTTACAGACAGAAAATAAAATAATAAAATGCACACGCGTCATAGTAAAACCAATAGATCCCTCATCACTACGTTCCGAATCTAAAAACTTTAAAAATATAGTTTGTGGTTTTAATTAAAATATAAATAAAATCGTATCCACCAGTCGGTTTCAAAAAGTTATTATTATATACCACCAAATACCTTTAAATTTTCAAAATGTTTACTTCCCAACTGACCAAAATCTAACAATAAAAATATAATAATTTAAAATAATACCTAGTTTCATATTTCTGATTGTATCAATATTTCTATTTACCTCTCCGTTTAGGCTTATTTTAGAATCCTCCCCTTGTAATCTTCAAAAATATTCACCTCGCTAAAAACAAGCGTCTCTAGTAGTTACTATGGCATCTGTCGTGGTTGGTGCCTATTTTGGATGTTATTGGATATAGATAATATAAAATACCAATCAACCGCCCGAATACCATAGTATTTTTATAATAAAATAATAGATATTTGTAAAAACCGCGTCGAGTATCCGTAGCTGTGATGAAAAATCTATTGAATTACGAAGAGCCGTTTAAGGAAAAGGAATCATCAATAACATCCGTTCGATTCGTGTCTAATCTATCAAAATAATATACACATATGCATACTACCGTTATTTCTGTTACAGCTCGTGAATATACGCCGAGCAAATTGTACTAAAAAATGAGTTATTCCGATGTCTTTTTACCGAATGATTGTATTATGAGGTCAGAATAAAACTGCGTTTAAACCCGATATGTATACAAGTCTAGCATGTACAAATCTGGAAATGTCAAACTTGGAATTCGGAGTTTTACGCGTATCGAAATATTAATAGTACAAAACCCGCACGAGTTTGGAAACGTAAACAAATTGAATTGTGTGCAAATCTATAATCCACAATTCTATTTTCAAGGATTTTACGTACACCGAAATCTGGTACATACAAATTTCGAAAGAAAAATTTTTAAATTTCAACGAAATCTAAGAAAATTTTTAAGTAGTTTATATAACAATAATACAATCCAAACATTTTATTTTCAAATTTGTACGGTTCAGATATTGATATCCGGATTTCAGACATGTACAGTTTAAAAACTTAAGTTTAAGTAATTTTCTTTGTGTTTTATTTAAGTTATTCAAAGGGTCATTTAAAATAAGACCAATAATTGATATCTTTTTCACTTAAAATGTGACTCTAATATTTTCTTAGCGAATTATAAATTCGTTATATATATTATTCATTAAAATTATTATTATTTTTTTTTTTTATACCCTGTATGCATTTAGCTAAAAAAATCGCAAATAATCTCAGCATTTTATGTTATACAACGTAATTTGATACTTTGTTTTATTTTATGGAATTTTATTTTTTCATTCGACTTTTAAAACATACGCAACAAAATATACTAACTAGGTTTTAAGGGAAAAATATTATTGAATATTTCGAACATATCTATCAGCGATAAAAATTAAAATTGTACATTGGAAATTTATTAAAACAATAATTTTCATCGGTAACTATGTGTATCGCATTTCTACCGCAGTGGTTTTCTCAACCTTAATTTTATTTATAATAATATATAGTTGGCTCGCCTTACATTATATGTAAGTATTTATATATTATAGGAAAATAATAATTTACACTTATAAAATAAAAGAGTGGGGGAAATCAAAATGTTGTTAATGCGCTGTTGGCATACAGCGTTACATATTTTATAAATAGGTTTATTATTATAATTGTTTTAAAACTAGTATAAATACTATTATTATTTTCCAATTCCACACGTCTTATTCAGTGGTACGATTTAAATTTGCCGAACAGGTTTTCGCGAACGAAATTGTTTGATTTATCGGTATACTTTTCGCCTTTCTGATGGCGAATCGCATTAACCGTGTGCTACACACACATCAGTTTCAACAAATTTAATTTTATAAGTAAACAATGCATCTAATAATATTGCAATCCATTATATTATGTAAATTAAAGTATAATTTATTTTACCTTTAAAATTCAATATCGACGTTTCAAGACCAAATAAGGAAATGTCTGCTATTCCGAATTGAGTTTTATAATAATATTATGTTCAAACAAAAATTCTAAGTCCTCTTTATGATTTACAAATACTTGAAATTATTTTGGTTGTGTTATTACTTATTATTATCCTTAGTAATATTATTGACATTTTATGAAATTATCTTATTTTCTTTTGAATACACGAAAAATACGTGTACAAAAAAAGAAAATTGCGACGTATGTACCTGAAATAATTTTTTTGCGGAACAAATGTTAAACGTCCGCATACGTCCTCCAAAATATTTAAATGTTTCAATGAATGCAATTTTACAAAATTTAATTATAATGTGTATAAATATGTTCATACAAAAATTAATTTGCCAATACATTAATTATGATATAATAACAATATTTCTATTTATAATAAGGCATTATATTCCTACTCGAGAATAATTTTAAAAAAAATATAGAGTTTTAGTTAGATTTGGCCGAGATGTATAAAATATAGTACACTTATATTATGGATCAGCATGTAATATGTAACTTATAATGAAGAATTTACGAGGAAACAATTTTAAATGGAACTTTTAATTTTCAAACATTTTTGATACGTCAAAACATTTTTATCTACACAAAACAAAACAAAAATTAAGTCAAACGTTTCAAATGTCTTTAAATAGCTCACAAATCACAAGAATGTTTCGAATAAATGCTTAAATAAAAACTCGTGATAATTAATATTTGGCATATTTTTAGCATCATAGTAATTATGATTTGTGTAGACTTATAACAAACCTGGTGTTTAATTGCTGACCATTTTTGTGGAGTAAAAAAAATATCAAATGACAACTAAAATAACTCGATAATTTTTAATGACCATGAAATCACCAAAAAATGTTTAAAATGTGTCTACATTTAGAAAAGACTACTGAATAAAAGTGTTGTGTCAAAGTTGCATACTTGTATAATCATTTGTTTAACATAATAACACTAAGCAACAAAATAGCAAATAACAGAAACCGTGAGTTATTTCATAAATAATTCAGAAAACCCCATTGGAAAACCGATGATCCCTGATTTTATCCAAGAAACTCTTATGTTGACTTTCATATTGCCACAACTAGACAGTATTCTGTTTTAGCAAAGATTCAAATATCGAAGATTGGGGCAATATTTCTGATTCAAGATTTGTTAACAGGCAGAAAAAAAATTAATTAAAAAAAAAGTCACACGTATCACAGTAAAACAAATAATTCCTTCGCTACGCTCATAATTCAATAATTAATATTTATTTGTGGACATTTGTAGATAATTAAAATGGTGAACATTAAACTGTTTAGTATAATAATGAATAAAAAATAATATGTTCCCATCTTGAAAATATTAAACAATTATAAATTGTATAATATTAAAAACCGCGTTTTAGCAAAATATATTACAAATCTGCAGCAATATATTATAATAGCTACAACGAGAAATTGTTATTATTTCGAGTGGAGTACAATCATAATTAAATTATATATACTCGCGTCCGATTATGTGGGAAAACAAATTTATGAAACATTACAGTCTTGATATTTATTAGTATTTTGTAAACTCTCACAAAATTGTCATCACTCCATTAAGTCGTAATGGAATTACCAACTATTTTTACACGCAGCAATAACAATAAAAATATGATTCGATATTATTATTTTTTAGTCTTATAAATCAGTTGTTTGTGTTTATTGCGACAACAATTATTTCGATATTGTCATTTTTTTTTCAAGATCAGTTTTCTCTCCGCAGTTAGGATTTTTCCCTAGTTATTAAAATTCCGTCCTCTTATAGTTTTTTTGTAAAATGGCATTCCCAAATATTGTAAATGAGATGGGATATAGTAAATTATAATCACAATTTGTTAATAAACCGTAGGATCTTTTTTTGTTGAGTTTACCTATAATTTGACAACAATGAAAATTTAAAAGTCGAATCTACAAAAAGCCATTATGTATTCAACAACTTTTTAATTTTTTTTTTGTCTTTGTAACTTAGCTGAAATATATAATTTCAAGATAAAAACACCGAGTACTCATTGGTAGTTACTGTATTTTTAATCGAATGAGGGGGGATGATATATAACCTCTAAAGCCATCCTCTCACGTGCGTGTTACTGCCTTCGAATGATTAACGTCTTTGATCCGTGACTATTGTTGCTTAAGTCGTGTTGCCTAAAATGTTCCCACCGTGGTCTTCTCTATAATTTTTATCTTTCCCATTTGATCCGAGCATTTCAATCGAGTCTCGGTTATCAGTATATGATATTCTATCACTTAAGATCTTTATTATTTTTGATACTATTTCAAAAAGAATTCTTACTCTGATAAAACTATCAGAATAAAAATACTCTGATTGAGTAAACACCCAATAAAATCTTTTAAATAGACTTCTGCGATATAGCATTTACCATATTATTATTGACAGATTTTTTTGACAATATTACTATCTGACTACCGTCCGCAAGATGCAGATAAATATCCCTATATAATGGCCTATATGTCTATTGCGTTTATCACCGGTTATCCCCCCCTAATATCCTTTAGAATGCCCTTTAGAAAATAGTTTGAATATTGATATTTTTAGTTTTAGAAATCTGATGAAATTTAAATTAAGCTTGAGAATAAAATTCCAATAACTATTTTTTAATATGTTTTTATTGCCATTGTTATTGTTATTGTGTTTATAATTTTTCATTTTACTGTTTGTGAATCTGTTATTTGTTATTTGTACTATATAAAATGGAGTTTGATCTAAGTCATCGTATCCGTCTAACTTATCTCGAGCGTTCTTCTGTAGTTCGACATCACGAATGTGCTTATTAATTCATTCTGCTTTAGCAAAATCGTTCGTTGCCAAATTATCGCGCAAGGAAAAAAATTATTTTAGACATTTTTTTTGTCGTGACCGGGGGATTATTTTTTATATATATATATAGTTCAAACCGAGCTGAGCACGTCATATTATTATGATAAAAAATGTCACACAGAGCGCGTTATTATTGTGCAGCAATATATTATTATAATCATGTACACGTATAAATATATATGATATTATACGTGATAATCTGAATGAAATATGTACGGTGTTGGATTTTGCGTGAAATTGTTCGCAATCCGGTCACACCTTATTGTGTGCCGGGCGCCGTTGAATGCCTTCCCGCGATAAGCTCGGGGAAAACCGACGAAATTAAAACGGCACCGCGGCACTACGATGCGCGACGGCTGCAATATCGGAGCCAGAAAAGAGGATTTTCCGTTTGGCGTATATATACCTACTTTCTGGGTCCGGACCCTAATTAAATATTTAATCTTACCCGCGTGTTCCGGATATACACGTCTTTTTTCCTCATTTTTTTTTTTGCCATCTCTCTCTGTCTCTCTTTCACTAGCACTGCCTGCACCGCCCCTTTATTTTGTAGGCTCTCGCGCGCGAACCCGATGATATGATATTTTTAATTTTTGTTTTTTTTTTTACACTGGTATATTATACGACGGCATCCGAAAAGCCGCATATCCGTTCGGCCGAAAGGCACGCGGGCGCGTTCGTGAAAATGCTCTAAATAACATTGCCGGAGGATCTATAATATTATATATGATTAAATTACCTCAACGTAACTAGGTATATTACCGCCTCGCTGCAAGAGGATATAATATTAGATTTCGCGGTCTCCGAGGTGTTCAGCGGGATACGTACGTATTCCGATTTAATGAAATATTTTGTCGTTATACAATATATACCATCGTCTATTTCTTCTTTTCAGCTATAGAGACCATTGAGACCCGTGGCTGAAAAACAAAAATGTGTCCATCTCCCTATCCCTTTCTCTCTCTGTCCTGAGCTATTTCATTAAGATTGTCCACTCCTAGGTTAGTTTCTTTTTAATTTCATCAATCCAGCTCCGTTTCGGCCTTCCTATTGAACTCTATATCCCCAGGGGTCTATTATAGTACATTATTTTGTAATTGATTACATTATGTCATTAAGCCAAATCGATCTCTTTTGTCGTATTTCGACTATTATATTAAGGTTTCCGAATAACTCCTATATACTTTTCTGTGATATTTTAATTCATATGTTAGTCTTTTTATTTATTTATTTTTTTTTTTTATTTTTTTAAATTAAGGGAGTACGCAAAGCCATCCAGGGAAATTGCTCTCCGTGACAGTTTAGTCTCATATTCTGGGCATGTGGATCACATTTTATTAACAGTTGTTAATACTCTGTGCACCCGTCCTTTGGATTTATTAGCTAGCAGCTTCGATCCCGTTAACCCCGATAGTGCACAAAAGCATTGTCTTCTGTGTTTAATGTAAATTTCGTTTGTTCGTCGTTATCATTTATGTTACATAGTGTGGTGTCTAATTATTTAAATCGGTTTACTTCTTCATCGTTATTCATATTAAATATTTTGTAATTATGAATAATAATGCACGTTAAATAGGATGTCTATAATCGTAAAATTAAATCAGTTAGTAATTTAAAGTGTTTAATGGAGGAAATCCATGACCTAAATGGAATTCCTTATAAAAAAAAGAATATTATAAAATTATCCTATTGAAATTTGTTAAATTTAATATTATTATTACATTACAGAAGTACACTTGGCGTCACAAAAATCGCACATCTTTAAAATTAAGTTTCAAACGGGCATTTCCCCGAACCAAAACATTTAATCCAAACAATAAAGATATAAATTGAAAGTACAGTTAATGACCTCTTATCCGATAGTAGTTTCATTTCATAAACAATAATCATATTCGGAGTATACGGTGCATTAGGAAAATGTATAAATATACTCCTATCTTATCTTATATTCTTTGGCTATAGAAAAATCAGTTTAAAGTGTCAAATGCAGGTCATTCACTTCCTAAACATTGAAAAGGACGTACGTGAATACTCTTTAAACAATATTATTTCAAAAAATAACGTATTAAATGGATACAACTGCTAACGAAGCCGCTCAAGTGGTAGCATTAATGGAATCAGGGATGCGTCAATGTGATGTTGCACGGCAACTAAACTTGAGCCGTTTTGCCGTTCGACGAGTTTTCCAACGTTATCAAGAGACTGGTGGCTTTATCCGGAGGCATGGATCAGGCCGACAACGCTGCACAACGGACAGAGATGATCGTTTTATTGTCTCGACGTCTTTGCGCAATCGATTTTCCAATGCTGTAGAGCTTCAACAGCAACTCCGCGCAGCTCGCAGTACAACAGTAAGCACCTCTACGGTTAGGAGAAGGTTAGGAGAACAAAAAATTGTGGCCCGCAGACCTGCTACCGGTCCGAAACTGACTGCACAGCACCGCAAAGAACAGTTACATTTTGCCCGTGAACATTTTAATTGGACGCTTGACCAATGGAAGACTGTGCTCTTNCCTGTACCGAGGAGACAGTGGAGTATGGAGGTGGATCATGCATGTTCTGGGGCGGCATTTCCATCGATAGCAAGACCGAGCTTGTGTGCGTTTCCCGAACTGGTGGCGCTCGAGGACAAGGATCGCTAACTTCTGATCGATACATTACAGAGATCTTAGAAGAGCATGTGGTACCATATTCGGGTTTTGTTGGAGATGGGTTTATACTAATGCACGACAATGCTCGTTCCCACACCGCATTAATTGTAAAAAATTATACGGAAGAGGTTGGGATCCCTGTTATGAACTGGCCAGCGAGAAGTCCAGACCTAAACCCAATTGAGCACCTCTGGGACGAATTAAAACGAAGAGTGCGGTCACATGATCCTGCCCCAACAACCCTCCAAGATCTTCAATATGCTGTTGTTGCGGAATGGGTGAACATTCCTCAAGAACGCATCGTACGACTCATAACTTCTATGAAAGATCGTATGGAAGCAGTAATTAAGGCAAGAGGAAGTAGCACTAGATTTTAAATAACATTTAGTAACAGTTTTTTATTTTTATATGAAGTCTATTGTCTGTTTCTGTTTGTAAAACTGTATATCCTCAATACAATTTGTTTTCCTCTTCCACGATTAACTTATTTTTTAAAACACTGATAAACAAAAACACATACCATTTATTTATTTTTCAAGTTTATTTCATCACCTTTCAAATGATATATCATAACAGTACCCTTATATATGATTAAGTGTAGTTAAAATTACTTTGAAAAATAATTTGCAATAGGTGCGATTTTTGTGACGCCAAGTGTATTTTAGCAGCGAGTTAAATTTTAATCAGACACATTATAGTCAGTTTATCCGTGAAATTGATAAATGGATAATACATTAATACAATTATTATGATGATTCCCAAGTTTTTTTTTACACAATTTTACAATGGTTTGATTATTTCACACTTTCAGGAAAAACTAAACGTTATCGTTATATAATATGCTGATATAATGTAATTTTCAGAACTATAAAGAATTTGTTATACGAATTGATAAAAGTATTTGAAACTAAAGACATTTTTCTACTGGTTAATGGGGCAATAAAATTAAATTAAGATAATTAAAATTCAACCATATCATTTTAGATTAAATTCAGATAGCTGTATCAAGGGTGATTTTTGAGATAGAAAAAGAAGTTTATTGATTTGTATTTCTTGAACAAAATAAAACTATTCCAACCGATTGTGAAATGATTTTATTGAAAAGTTCAACCCTTAAAACAGAGCTCGTGCTGAAAATTTGTCCTTGAAATACGACAATAGGTTACACCGGACAAAAACTATTAATTATTTTATTTGGTCGCTAATTTTAAAACAATTAAACGGGTAAAAAAAATAATAACAATACATAAACAAAATACAATTCAGTATTTGCAAAAACACTGGTAAAATCAATTATAATATAAATTGTATTATAATTAAATTCATTTCAGAGCAATTTTTTTATTTGTTTTATTTATGAAGAAACATTATAATTAACCTGGGTAAGGCCGGATGACTGTAGCTAGTATATATTATATTTGTATAATGTCAAAGAATAACGTAAAATACTATTCAATTATTATTATTACTTAGCTGTCGCGTAGTAAAATAATAATTTATTCAAGACCCAGAGTGGTAAAATGAAATAACGAACTACGGTAGCGTTCACGGGAGGGGGGGTAAGTACACCCCCATCTCAAAAGTGACTTAAAAATACAACAATAACTACGAGTATTTTTTTTCTTAATTTTATCGAAATTAAATATTTTAGACAAATTACGATGGAAAAATCTTGATTTATAAAATGAATGCGTTTTGTTAGACTCGTCTTCTCGCTGCCAGGTCAGGTATAACGGAAGAATATTCTACGATATGCTTTCACGAATTTTCATATTTTTATTTGCTATATTCACTTCCATTGAAAATTCCTGGGCACATACCACTTTCTCAAAGAGTGTTTCGTCGTTCAGTCTATCGTCGTTGTCGTCGGTATTTACTATTTACAACAAACATACTTCCGTGTGAAGCTAGTTAGGCACACGTAAGACACTAACAAAGTATAACAGTAAAATAATGCATTGTATGTAATATAGGTAAAGGCAGGTAGATTTTTATGTTAAAACGAGTACGACACTTGTGCAAGAAGGAAATAATTTAACGCTGCGGATCTCCGCCCGTCCGGAAGCGTTGATATACACATAATATTGTTTTCAAGTTTCACGCTGTACGCGCACGCGCGACTTTATTTCAATGGCAAACCTAAGGAATATTAAACTACCGGCTTGCAGTATAAATATGTATACAGGATGATTCACTAAGCGTGCTTACCCCATTTTTTTTTTGGTTAAATTTTGCACGCATTTAAATTCCAATTTTCAAGTGTAGCTAAAGGCAATATTTTCGAATACTTAGATTTTTCACAACATTTAAGGATATTGCTGTGGCGTTACTAATTTTAGACTTCGAATGAGAACTTATATGAACTTGTATGAAAATTTTGTAACTAGAAAGAATATTATTTGACGAGATATTTTATTTTTAAGTCTAGGTAGGGGGAGAGTAGTGGAGCACTGATAAAACGCCACGCGCCGAGGCGCAACAAATGATACTTCACTACTCTACCACTACCTAAACTTAAAGTGGAATATATCATTAACGGGTTGACAGAAATCAAAAATTTATTTTACGTACCTAATACTCTAATAATGTAAAAACATTAAAAATGCTAAAAAAAAAAAAATAAAAAAAAAAAGTGACGCTTTCAGTATCCATGAGATATTCTAATTATGTACTTGGAAAACATAGATATATAAAACAATAGATACCAGTGAGCAGAAGAACTCTTAAATTACTAGATTAAACATTTTTCTCTATAGAGATAGATGATAGTGTATTTACGAGAAATAAGTTCTTGGGGTTTCATTACATCGCATATTACTAAGAATTTATATTACCTAGCTGTTAGTAGACATATAATTTTAGGGGTAATAGGGGAATGATTTTTAAAATTTTGTATCATAATAATAATAGATTTTGATCTATAGCCATATGCATAGAATAACAATCCCCCCTTACTTCAAAAAAAGACGGACATAATTTGCGCGTGAGTGCAGTACCTATTGTAGGTAGGAAAATGAGAAGGTAAGATGCATAAGAGAATTTGGTGTACATCTGTAACCAACTATAATCCATTGCTAACAAAATAAACGATTCTGAGGGGAGTTCAGTTGGTAGTGATGACTAAGTATAAAAAACAGAAATATAATATAAAAATTACTAGTTAAAAGAAAGTACTAAAATCTAAATTTATTTTATATTAATATAGCTCAATCTGTATTATTGCTTTTTCAACAATGTGCGTTTCCATGACAACAATTATTGTTTAAAAGAGATTAAAAACAATAAAAACTTAGTGATAACAAAAATAAATAAAATCAGTTGCCAATGATAACCTTATTTTTAATATTTCAATCTTTTTAACTAAAGGAACCTATTTTCCTCATTATCTCGAATATTAATGATAATTTCAAAAAATTATTTATTTAAAGTACCACCCAAAGAACATTTCTTTTCATAAAATGTGTTATACTTGATAATTGGAGTATCTAAGCTTTCTAGTACAAAAAGTGTTTACATAAAAACAAAAAAATAAAAATTATTGTAAAACTAATACTTCCTTGCTCCATTCCGAATTTAAAAGAAAAAAGGACAGTGTGATATTCCTGCACTAAAGTTTAAAAAAAAAAAATTATAAAGCGAAAAAATACCCGATTAAAGAATTTTAAACAAAATAAATGCCAACCGAAAACTATCGCAGAAACAAATTGTTTCGTTGACGTAAATTAAAGATTCATATATTAGACTTATTGAAACCTAAAAAAAATAAAGCTACAACTATAATTTAACAGTTTTATTAAATAATTAAAAAAAAAAAAATTAAAAAAATAAATAATAATATAAAATGATCATATTATTAATTGTTTTTGTATACATACCCCGTAAATGATCGGTATGCTTATATCAAATAAAATTGCATGGATATTTCACATGGAGAAAATAAAGTGCATATGATATTATCATTTTAGTGATGATAATGTAATTTTCCGTTTCGATTCAGGGAGGGACACCTAATTATAAAATAGTTTAATTATTACGTTAACTCGTATAGAACCTGCAGCAATACGAATATTAATCAAAATTTAATAATGTTTCGCGCGTGTTATTTTAAAGTAATATAATTGCACGTACAGTTTAAAGAAGCTCAATATCATAAGGTGTGTTACACATTTCGCGTTTCGGAAATAATAAAAAAAAGATTAAAATTTAATTTGAAATTTATTACTTTTACATAATGTTTTATAGTGATAAAACCGAATTATACATAATTTGAATGAATGTATCCATAACGCATCTGAGTAAATACAGTTATTTCTATTTAAATTAAAAAGTTTACGCATATTGTATAACTACTATCCTTTTTTGTATGTTTCGAGTTTTGATATACTTTATGTAAAAATATAAATAAAACTTAACATTTAAAAACTGCGTTATCGAATATGTAAAATTTCATATCATTTCGATAATATCATACTGTGATCGTTTATCATTATCTACTTATATAAAACAAAAAAAAATTCATCTTTTGTGAAAAATATCAATTTTTAATACGTCGGTCATTATTTGAATTCAAAAACATGGATAAGTTTATTTTAATACATACTCATTTAAAACAATAATATTTAAATGCCGATAACCACGACAGTTTTTAATTATTAGAAAAGATTTTTATATTTTTTGATTGGTCAAAATACAAAAAAAAAAAAAAAACCAATGTCTAGTTTATATCAAAATAAGTTTCACAGAATAGCAATTCTTTGTTAAAAATCACTAATGTTTAACGTTTTAAGGCATGTTTTGATCATTTTGAAAACATATTTATGAGTTTTGTATAATTTTAACATGATTTTTTCTTCTTCTTTAAGAATATTTTGGATTTTTCAGCACTTGTCTGAATTCAAAGGTTTTAAGGACATACCAACAGTAAATATCTACCCTAAAAATGATTATACTACATGATTAATAAAATTTAAGTGTTCATAACTATACTATAAACGATTAAACTTAATGCATAACGAAGAAGTCTACTGTTGAAAACAAAAATAATAACCGTTTTCACAATTTAAAAACAATTCCATAAAATATTAATAATTTTAATATTGGATTAAAATGGATATTAAGAAGAAAAACACATTTTAACAATATCCATGCAGTGTATATATCATCTGCAGTGGCCTATTGTTCACACACATCACTTTTTTTTTACCTCGTTATACGCCTATACATACATGAAGCATGTCATAAAATATCTCGAGGGTGTCAGCGAATGTTGTGAATTTGGCCTGGGGGAGTATACCGTGCCTATCAGCTTCCTTCTTGGTGCCGTCTCTTTGAACCACCTTTCTTTACGAAAATCATACACATCTAAGCATAAAATTTAATATATTTTCAATTATATATATCATATATAAATTGTAAAAGGAATAATATTATACTAAGTACTAGTCTAGAAGACTATTAGATTTATATGCTATCTATAACAATTATTTTAAAAATAAAAAACATAAAAAAAATAATAATAATAATCTTCAAATTATTTATAACAATTTTATTTTATTTTTTTTTTTTTTTACGTTTTGTGAAAAGGTTTCAATTAAATCCCTACTATTTATTCTGGATCAATTTATTATATGTTTGGAATAAATCAATGTTAAAACGAAAAAGGTTATTCGATTTTAATCCCTCTAAGGTATAGGTACCTAATTTGTTTGTGCACAATATTCAGATATATTTAATATATTAATACAATTTGTTTATATTAATGACAAAATATTTTATGTTACAAATTTTAATTCATCACAAATATCGAAATTTCAACATTTGAAAATTTATTTGAATATAAGTTTATGTTTGAGATAATGAAAAATAAAGTTAATTTAATTAAGTAACGTAAATTGAACAAAAATGAATTGAACCCTACCTAACACGTAAACCTCATAATTTTTATTAATTGACTAAGTTAAGTTAAAAGTAAATTTCAAAATAAAACTGTCGTATAATTTAGTTAAGTCAAGTTAATTTGTGTTATTTATGAAATCTTTTGTTTTTATTAGAATATTGAATTTGCATAAAATTAAAGTTTGTGATTTTTTTGAAATTAATTGTGTTCAATTTTACATACAGTGATGTGATTAAAACTGATTCATACAATTTTACTTATTTTAAACTCAGAACACCACACAAGTTATAAAGTAAAAAAAAAAAAAAAGAAAAGATTATTCTTACTAAGTATTTATATAGGTAGTGTAAATTATTGTAAACTGAACATTTCATAAAATTTAAAAGAAATTAAAATTCATTATTATTATTCAGTTAATTTAAAGAAAAGAGATTATTAAAAAAAACATAAGGATTCTAATATTAAAAATGACTTTTTAATTCGTTAAATTCCCTGTAGCCTTGAATTAATCATACGATCGGTTGCAATAATATATTATAATATTTTCTACGAGTTGTCTTAATCATAGAAATACATAAAAACTAAAAATGAAGTTATCATAAGTTCGTGGTATAGAAATGCATTTTAGATTTCGAGCGTAGCAATAGCTCAAAAATATAGTATTTAATTTATTTTTAAAATTGGTAAAACAAAATTTACAAATAAAACTGGGAAGATTATTATTTTTAGCTTCACGTGGATGACATAGCATCTTATCTACGAATGAAAAAAAGAATTCAATGGAGTAGGCAATATATGTTCCTTTTTCGTAAATACATATTTTAGTATCATATTTTCTAATTACTTACTGCAATATTGCAATGCATACACATTTTTTTTAAATTCATATTTTAACGCAGCATATTCTCCATTTTTTAAATGCTATAATGCATACATATTTCAATCATTTTGAGGCCATGAAGTCCCCAGTCCTAGTTTAGAAGTATTTTCAAGTCTGTATATTGTCAAAATATTAACTCGCATGATACAGTTGGTATATTTATAAAAAAAAATCTGTCCTAGGATAATGGAGATGAGTGCAGACACTATTGTTGGTAAGAAGTTAAAAAAGTAGAATATAATAAGGAAATTAAATTGTATCTGTAATCAACGATAAACCATTGCTTGCTAAAAACGATTCTGTTCAGTTGATAGTGATGCTTTGTCAACAATATATGTATGTCATATTATGGTGAAATAATTAAATAAGGATTGCATATTCTTTTGATTATAATAGTACTGATTTTCCTGATTTTTTATGTTTTTTACATTTGCTGGAAAAACTTTTGGAAAAATCAAGAAACAACCTCTTTAAAGTACCTCCCCAGTCAGATTTTCTTTAAAAAAAAGTGCTATCATTGTAAATCAGACCAAAACCGCTAGTAGAAAGTTGTCCTCAAAAAATCGTAATATTTTACTAATATATTTCATACATTTTCCCATTTTTGCAGTTTATCATATTTGATGAGTAAACTCCTAAGGAAATCAAAAAATTACCTACCGAAAGTACCACCCAGGGAAATTTTCTTTTAAAAAAGGGTTATATTGTATACACGAAAGCAAAATTTCTGGTAGAATTTTTATAAACTGTATAAAAAAATAATGATAATAAGAAAAATAAACATCTTTGTAAAACCAAAAAATTCTTCACTATACTCAGAATCTAAAATAATATTGGTCGAAAAATTCTTAATATAACGGCTATATGCATACTGTTATTATAATATGTTACGGGCTAAGCGGAATATCGAGCAATAAGCATATGGCCCTTGCATTGTATACTTTTCCCGATGTTTGTAGACAATACAATAAAATACTACTTACTCGGGCAGGGTAATACTCAGCCGGTCAATCTGTACTTACCGCTAGTAAATCGGGCATTGTAAAGCCGCGCCGAGTTTCAAACTGATGCATGCACGTATTCTGTCCGTGATATTCCGCAATATTATTTCATTCGCACAATAATTACGGTTTATTAGCTTGAGATAAATTTAACGACGGGTAACTCCGTAATCATATACGATATGAGAATCGTTAGTAATATTTAATGCAAAAGTTCAATGCTGTGACGTTTGTCATAGCGCACTCGCGTAAATTGCAGTAACGTTGTGTCGCGAATTTAAAATTTTAAGCGAACAGAACGAATGAAGCGCCGGAAAAAAACGTTTTCGAAAGTTAATAAGTTTGCGAAACCATTAAAATCAAAATACCAGATGTAGACAGTGCGCAAAGTGACCAGTGAACTACGTTGTACTCATGGAGTTTTACTATAAGGCACCTATATAAAACTTAAATTTGAGTACATGCAAGTATAAAATTTATTTGAATGTTTAAATGTATTATTTTAGTTTACGAAGATAACTATAAGATAGGAACCACTGAAGAAAAGTTGGGGCACAAATATAGTATTGTAACTAGTTTACTACGTGTAAATAAAAATTAGTGGAAGTTAGGATGGACTAAACCTAACAAATTCATTAGGAAAAAGATCGAAAACCTTTTCAAATTTAGGAAAACAGGGGTATGATAGATGCGTAATTGTACTTAAATTGGCTTGAATAAAAAATAGAAATGCAAAATGACAAAATAAAATATAATTGTAAATGTCATTCCAATAATAATTATTCAAACAAATAGTAATAACTAATGTATTTTTTTTCTTTTTTCTTTTTTTGAGTAACTTAAATATTTGTTTTACAGTGATATTCATTCGTGTATGTTAATTTCCAAATAATAAAAACAAAAAAAAAGCCTTATCTAATTTTTATAATTCTTTACGCGATTAAGAGTCTCCCACGAGGATTCGAAAAATTCAATAACTTTTGTTCTAATCAATAAATTTGATATAAATTCTTTTTTTAAAATTTAGTTTGCCTCAGCGTTTAGGAATTGATGATGATAATTACTATAAACACTGTATAACTACACGAGCTTACTAAGCTCCGTTCATAATTAAAGAAATGATTTATATCATTGCATTCAGTGTGTATAAATTAAATCACCCATTAGAAAATAAACCCTCTTCTACCTTCCCACCTAAAACATTAGTTTAATGGTAGACACCCTTAGTGTGGAATAGGTATGCGTGGTTTATTTTTTGTTTGCTTTGCTTTCCATTTTTCGTCTTATGCTGCGTGCAACACGAAATGCAGGTATTTAAAATAATCATAATTGGTAATGCATGCGAAGCTTTGTATTCGATAGCATAGATATATTAATGGATAAGCTCATCTAATATTTTAACCTATGATATTATATAATATCATACTCCCCTAACTTTTTTTAAGTATACCTAGATGTAATTTTATATTCAAGAAATCGCATTATATTTACGCAAAACGTAAATGTTAACCAAATTATTATAATATTAAATAATGTTAATCTGGAATCTCGTATTAGTTTTTGAAGAATTCTAAATTGATTGTCCCAAATAAATAATACATTTTATATACGTCGTACAGTCTTCGTCATTTTATATACCATTGACATGCAAATGTAGTTGTAATAGTTGTATAATTTTACAATGCAAATATCACGTTATCGTATTATATACACGCATTATACGATATTATATGATATTCCCGTATACATTGTATATTATTACAAAAACGGTACATAGTCAAAGTGTTTCAACGCCATTAATATAGGGAAACGGGTGAAAAACGTACTGTCGAAAATGTGAGGGTTTTATTGTTTATTTGCATTACTCGTATTATCGTCGTCACTAAAAATAATCCGTTTAATTATCTACACATTTTCGCGAACGGATAACATAATACAGATATATACAACGAGTAAAATAAGAGCAGAAAAAAAAAAAGAGGCGATACTAATGACGAATATCCTATTGTAGGTGGAAAGTTGAGAAAGTAAAGGATCAATAGAATTATTTAATTTAAATCTGTACTATACGATAAATCGTAGTTTATAAAAAAACGTCACTATTCAAAGCTTGATGAAATATGTTTTCAAAAACTGCAATGTTTAATATTTTCGTCTACATTTTAACTTAAAATCTTTATAAACAAACTAACTAAAATATTAAGTACTCCTCACTTTGTTTTTTTTATCACATAAAACCTATAATGAACTTGATATAAAATTTCTTAGCATTTCTGATTAACCAGAACAAAATTAACTCTACAATTTCAAATACCCATAATTTTAAAATCGCCAGAGCTTTGAAAAATGTTATCACGACTAGAAAGGTAAAAAAAATAATGACAATTTTTTCCTTAAACTTTCTTTATTTTCCTCCAATTTTTACCAGTTATTATGAAAATAACAAATAAAATTGCCATGCAACTATGAATATAATTTTCTTACAAAAAAAATGTTACTCTTTTGATATTCTAAACAAAATTTCTGATAAAAAAACTAAATCGAATATAATTAAAAACTTTTATTTCCGTAAATTTGTTCATTTTTTCAATACGTTTTTCCGGATTCTCCGAATAAATATGAAAACTAATTGGAAAATAAACATTGACCTCTTCAATAAACAAACTAGACCCCAAATTCTACAAAAATGACTCAGTCGTTTTTTGATTAGAATAACATTTCTGGTAAAATTAATCTTCTCAAAAAAAAAAAAAAAAAAACACCAGTCAAACCAATACAATATTCGGTATGCTCGAAATCTAAAAAATACATATCACAGTAAAATCAATATTTCTCGCTTCGCATAGAAACTATAAAGACGGATACAGCATGGCGGTAGCGTGCCGGAGGTCGACATAGGACATAAGTTTTAAATTGCAAATTTTTAATGCGTGTAATATTGTGAATAGTCTATGTAAAAGTACCTGCAGCAGTACACGTAGATAGTATTATTTTTTTCATTGGAAATAGAAGATTCATGCCTTGCTGCCCGTAGAGCAAAACAAACGTTTTAAAAAAAATTTTCGCGAAACAGATATATCTGCAAAGGACACGGTTTCCTCGTTTTGCTACCTCAGCGTCTTTTCAATTGGATTATCCCTAGCTATATATAGCTTTATATCCTTCGCCTGTATGCTGCACCGGTGTTTTCTTTACCTGCACGTATGTAGATAATATTTAATATATTTTATATTTAAAGATGTGTCTGTGTTTGAATGGTCTCTGACAATGACAACAGAATACACACATACAAAAAAAAAAAAAAAAAACGCCACCGCTTCCGCCGTATGAGTATACGGAACGTAAGTGAGTGTTTGCCGCGGATATTTTATAAAGTGATTTCCGGTATCGGTTATAGGGCTCTCGTTGACAGCCTCGTGCGTTACCCGGTAACCGTGTGATGAGCGCCAGTCGAATTTTATACAAACATATTGTCATCACTAAGGCTATGAATTTAATACGTTAAAAAACCTTTAGAAATAGCATTTAAATTTTCGATTTATAAATTGTAATATAAAAAAAAAAAAAAAAAAACACTCGTAAGCAAGCAGAGTTTCGTTAACTAGAAACAAATTTTCTTCCGTCTATAATGTGTATTATAAAAATATTATCTGTAAACAAATAAATAATTGAATGAAAAAATATTATATTATAATACTATAGGTACTAGAACTATGTATATTATCCGAAAAATGGTGACATTTAGCATTAAAATGGTTGGAACAGGGATTGAAAATTGAAACCCCCAAAAGGCATATTTTTGACACTAATACAAAATTATGTTTGTTTCTCAAGGGTGTTATTTTTTAAGTTGCGATTCCTATTTAGGGAATTAAAGGTATTTTTTTAAGATTTTTATTGCATTTAATTTACAGTCTTAATTTTTTAAATTGTATAGCACAAGTTTTTCCGTTCAAAGTGAGACAAAATTATGGAAAAATGTGTTTCTTCTTAACTCACAGTTGGTCCAATCACTATCACAATTCACCTTTTTTAATTTATTTTTTTTAAAAGAGTACTTAAATAACAGAACATATTTAATTGATTTTAATAATAACCAAGATTCGAGACTAATAGAACTTAAAACCATAAAAAAGTGATTAAATACACTATTGTAAGCATTTTAATTTCTAAAACAAGCACTTAATAAAGCAGAAAAAGAATTAGTGGACATCATTTTTTTAAAAAAACTATTGAAATAAGACAAAAATATAGCATTTTTAAATTTGAATATTTTTAAAATCAACTAGTGGATTTTCATTGCTCCATGCCCAGCAATAACTGACTCGTTAGGCAAATAACGTAACGAAAATAGTTTATGGGAATCGACCAAAAATGTGGTCTGTTTAGGCGAATAGTTAGATAATATTTTGGATAGTGTTTATTCTACCACACATACCATTTGGGTGTAAAGGTATGAATTTATTCATAAGTATATCATTTTTTCGCTCTTCATATCGTTTATATACAGGATAATCAACGTAACGTAAGATACTGTATAGTAGAGCACGCCTCGTGTCACGCCATACCTGCTCTTCATACCTGTAAGCAACAATAAACCATTGCTTACGAAAAATCGATTCTGAGTAGATTTTAGTTGATAGTGTTGCTTCGTCAAAAATTTCATTTTATAGTAAAATAATTAAATAGATTTATATATTTTTTCTTTAATAATATTTGTTTAATGTTGCACCGATTTTTCTAGTTTTTCTACGTTTTTCCCGGTTTTCCCATGTTTTTTTCCGGTTTTTCATATAAGCAAATGCATATTCTTCTAAATTTGACTTATAATAATTCTGATTAAATATATTGATATTTCGTAATACGTAGATTCTAATATTATTATTAGTAGTAGAAGTATTTTTTTTTTTTTTTTGTGCATATTTTTGGACAATAAAATGTGCATATATTATAAATACTAAATAAAATATTTTACTGAAAGTTTGATCCCTGATTATCACAAATAAAAAAAATGTCTGGAATTATATGCGGAGAAATAAGTATTGATAATGAAGACCTTGCAGAATTGTCACCTAAAGATATTTCTTGTTTCAAATAATATGCAACCGTTGAGTCAGCAGACGTTAAAAGAAGATTTTCGGTGTAAATGGTGATGGTACGTGATAATCGTAGAAGTTTTCAATTTGATAATTTAAAAGTACATTATGTTAATTCATGTTGGTATTTAATCAAAAACTAATAGATAAAAAAAAATAAGAATAACTTACAATTTAAACTTATGTATAATCTTATACCATTTTCGCAGTATTTAATTTTAATAGTTAGTATTTATATATATATATATAGTATTATTTAATATTTATAATTCTATGCATAATATAATATATTTTTTATGCATATTATTTGCGAACTTTTAAAGTTTTGTCTGCATAAATATGCATAATATTATGCATTTTTGATGCATATTATGTACATATTTTTTAAAATGTACGTGCATAAATATGTACATATTTAACAATATTTGTTGCATAAAAATCCAGGCCTTAGTTATGAGTAATAGTTTAAGGGTGACTGATAATTGATATCGGTGGTATCGGTTTTATTTCAAGACCGATATTTCAAAATATTATGTCTCTGCATTATGAAAAAAGTATCAAAAAAAATCAGTTTTAAACCAACATACTATTGTATTATTGTATTATAATATTGAGGTGATAAAACTAAAAAAAGTCTATTATACTAATATTTCCAAAGGTTTCATTTTTATTTATTTCACTAATACTATACTTGACTAATATATGTATATAATAATATGTAAAATTAACACAAATACTGGTAAAATTAAAATATAATACCGTTTGGCATCAATTGGTACTACTACTACTACTAATAATAATAATAATAATAATAATAAAAATAATAATAATAATAAATTTCTGGATGTCCAAAAAATCAAAATGAATATTGATATTAAATAGGATTTCGACCACATGATGAACTATAAGATAAAGTACCAACCATTTTAAATTTAAATCTATTTATAATATCGTAATAGCTCTAGCTAATACTGGAAATGATATAATTTATAGTTAATCCAGTGTTGGGGAAGTTTTTTTTTTCCTGGTAATTAAATTGCATTGCCTATCAAAATTCTAACTAAAATTGTTTTAAGCAATTTTTTTTTATTTGTTTAAGTTACATTATTTTTGAGGTAAAAAAGTAATTTCATTAAAATAAAAGTTAATTTTTTTTTCTCCAAAATATTACTCTGGAGTCTAATAAATATGTTGTCAATGTGACAATAGTAAAATACATTGCTGTACAAGTCATTAACTAATAATGAAAACCAACAATTTGAAATTATTAACACAAACTAATTTCGCTATATTGTATACATTATAAGCATAACAACAACTATAACTACAGTAACGAGTAATTTAGACATTTCACTATAAAAAAGTACTTAAATTATGAATAAACTATTTACAACAAATTATAATTAAATTACCATCAAATTACTCAAAAAGTATTTCGTTACAGTAATTTTTTAACTTGAGTTTAGTTATTCCCCAACACTGATGAGTACAACAATAATTAAAATTTATTAAGGAAATAATGAAATTCGATTTAATTTTAAATGATTAGGTATTATATTTAAAATTGTGCAAACTAAATTAATTGCAATAATCTACTGAAATATTGTGTGGAATATTATTTGATAATTGAGGGGTAAATTATTCATCCTGTTCCTGTTGAATTATTAATTATCAATCTACAAATTATTATTATTGATGGAAGTAATAACCGAAATTTAATATTATTTAATTATTGAAAAGCTATATCAGGAGCTATATCCTATTATTAATGGAATTTATCAGTTTCTTAAACTTTCAATTGCAATAGATATTGTTATAAAAAACAATGGTAAGACATATCCAAAAAAAAAGAAGTTATTATTATTACAATTAATAATAATAAAATTACTCCAATCCATCATGTTAATTTAAAATTTAAAAAAATTAAATAAATTTGCCAAAATTAATATTTCGGTTTATACTGATAATTCTTTGAAATGCTAAATTAATATCTGCTTTTTAATAGAAAGCCGAAACTATTTAAAATTTATAATTAATAGTAAAGAAACAAATGTAGTAGATTTTTCTACATTAAGCAATTTAAAAATTATATGCAATTCGGATACTATATTTGATAGATGGTACATTTAAAAGTTGTCCGAAATTATACCATCAACTATTTACCTTATATTGTACAATAAATCAGTATTAAGTTCCATTCGTTTATATTTTACTACCTTCGAAGACTACACAATGCTATTTACAGGCATTTCAACATTTAGTTAACGAGTGTAAAAAAAATTACTCACAGTCCTATTCGGTTGTATTTCGATTTTGAAAAGGCTATTCACAATGCTGCAAGACATATTTGGCCTTCTATTGAAGTAAAAGGGTGTAGATTTCACCTTGGTAAAAGTTGGTACAGGAAAATACAGCAGCTGGGGTTAAGTAATGATTACCAAACCAATAATACTGATATAAGTTATTTTTTTTAAATTGTTTTTCGTGCTTCCATTTTCAAGTCGTAATATGGTTGAAGATTGTTTTGCGTATGATATAATGGTATTGCAACCACAAGATAATAGGATCGTAACAATTTACTGACTACATATTAGAAACATACTTAACCAAAGATGCAGAGTTTCCACCATACATATGGGCCTAATTTTTATCTGTAAAAATAGTTTTATTAATATTTGTAGTTGAAATAATATTTTTCCATTTAAAAACCAAAAGTAGGTTTTCGTCTCACCCTCCCCCCCCTCCCAAAAGAAAGGTGACAAAATTAATAGTAATTTAACATTTTAGAAATGCTTGTTTTTTAAATTGCTAAAAAGAAATTCCAAAAAAAGTGAACACTTTCCGAGATAATGAGTGTCTTATGACAAATTGATCATCTTGTATATAAGTAACTTGAATAATTTCTAGTCTTTGAACAAATAAAACTAACATTAAAATTGCATATTAAGAAATAAAATACTTTTTGCGAACAACTAATATATATAATAGTAAAAAAAATTTCAATTTTAACATTTAATGATAGAAACACATTGAAAATCCACAAGATCAACGGAAATAAAAAAAAAAAAATTACATCATTTTAACCTATTTTACTATTTTCAATTATAATAACAAAATGCCAACTTTAATGAAATAAATTTTATGATGTATGTATGGCACGTACTTGTGTAGACAGAAAGTTACAGGAATAATTATTATTAGACTTGTAAAACCGTTAAAAACGAGAGAAAGTCACTCGTTTTTGAATAACGGTAAAAAAACATCGGAAACATTCCTATTTTTATTTACCTAGGTAAATTTAAGTTTACCGAGCTCACATCTCTACCTCAAATAAACAACATCGTAAATTATTATACTAAGTAAAAACGGATTTGTATGTATAGTAGGTATAATAAATTGCATGTTTTACCCGAAACGACTCTAATTTTACGAGCTATCTTGACGATTCATTTGTCGACAAACTGATTTACAAATATGCATATAGGTACCAACTGCATAAAAAAAAAAAATCATATTAACAGATTTCGACTTAGGTGCATAAAATAGGTACCATAAGTTATAAATTAAAATATAGGTAGGTAGCAAAATTATAATTCTTAGTGTTTTTCTATGGTTAAAATAAAATAATTATTACTGATTAGCGTATATTATATTATTATTACATATTTACGCTTAAATTTGTATAAAATGGGTAGTGTAAGTAACCATCGGTAACTTATTTTTATTAATTTTGTCCATTTTATTGTATAGTATTTTACATATGAATGTTTCAATGAAACTTCAGACCATACAGACATCTTATTTTTAGCAAATAAATAAATAACAGTATTTATAGCGCATGCATTTAATCGCAATAATGCACAATGCGCATGGGTCATTTGTTTTTATTTATAAATGAGCCGAAACCAAAAATATATAGATTTTGGTTTAAACGAATACAAATTTATCAAGAATGTATAAATATAAAAAAAAAAAAAAAAACTAAACAATAATATAGTTTTCTGCATGACTCGCCGTTAGTTTTGCGTATACCTATAATATTATAATATAATTTTATTCTAAAGTATTTGAGCGACGTCGTTGCGAGGTCGTTTATCATTTGTTGGGCTTTACACGCAGTACAAACGCAGCCAGAGCGATAGTATAATAATAATAATAATAATAATAATAATTATACAGAATGAACACTGCTGCCCGACAGCTCGACCCTCAAATTCTGAATAATAATAATCGTTATTGTTATATTTTTTATTTTAGATTTATGACATCTATACTAGGTCGTAACCTAACCTAGTATGATATGATACCAGAGGACCAATGGAAAGATCATAGGTGGGTAAAATTACAGTTGAAAATCGTTAAAAATAGAATTTTTGAATTTTAAAAGTGAAATACTTAAACGAAAATACATTTTTACAGTTTACAAGCTTATTGATTTTCAAAAAAAAAAATAATAAACCTTAACTAAAAAAATATATTATCTTGTATGAAATGTCACAATAGATATCTAGTGGTCGTAGCTATTTAACACAAAATCTATTGTATTTCACTGTCTATTTTCCTCCATGATAGATATAAGAAAATACACCTTATAAATTCAATAATTAAGTATAATTTTATTTATGATTTATATATGCTTTCGGTGATTCTTTATTCTTTATTTTATTTGTGTTTGACATTTTTAACCGTTTCTTCAATATTTTTTTATATAAGACGAAAAAAAAAGTAGGTATTGAGATCGACAAATGCTTAAAGTATACAAATAAAATACAAATAAATCAATGTTTCTTCGTACCTGTTTAATAATAAATATTATTTCGTTACTCTATTTTACCATTTAATGGTAGAATAAAAAATAATGACCTTGTGAATATCTCGATTCCACACTTAAGCTCCGAAAAATACTGTACTTAAATTCTGTTTTCCTTTCTGAGTAAAGCGAGTGTACACTTTTAGGATAGCTGAGTGAAAACACACGTTCCAACAGTTTCATGCGTAGAAACTTTATAAATAGGTTCGATTGAACACAAATGGCAACTACTTTAGATGGGTCATTTTTCGTATTATTCGATGTACGTACCTAACACAAGTTATCGGTTTGTGTAGAAAAACGTATGGCCTAAAATGTAACATTCCAGTTTTAAAATCGTTTCTCAAATCTAAAATAATGTTATAAATCTTTAAATTGTTAATTGGCTATTACACCGTGACATTGATGTACGTAGATGTAGGTATATATAAACAAATTTCTAATATTTTCAAGTATATTATTATTGCTTAAAAAAAGAGTCAATACTGCTTACGAGTAGGTGAGTAGATGGGAAGAAAGGATATACAAGAGAACTTCGTTTAAATAATCGATACATGCAGAGATAATTAAAAAACGACAAAACGATTCTGATCTGAGCAGTATAAGTTATTTTTTTCTTTTGAGATATTGCGTGAAAAGACGCATATTATGTAATAATTTTTTTTCGAAAAAGTTTTAGGAATAAAGTATAATAATCCGCTTACTCCTAAATGTAGTATAAAAATCAGATAGTATTTTCACTAAGCAGCAATGACATGTTTTTCAAAGAAAATACGCATATTTGTATAGAACTATAATAGCTTTTTCGTTATACTCGGAATTTAAAACGATAGGATTATTATCAAAATGTGTAACTATAACATATAGGTATATAAGACAAATATAATACATACGAAATAGTTGATTGCGATCGGACATGTAGTGAACGGAATTCGACATTTATTTAAGGTTCAAAGTGTTTATTGTATACTCTGAAAAACAAATTATTTCAAAGTTTCCTCGTTCCGCGGATAAAATAAAAATATTTTCGCCGTTATTAAATTTCTATATACACGCGTACGTACCTATAGCGTTAACTTTCTGTACAGTTAACACGTCATATTTTTCTCTAGTGCTTTTCGTATAAAAATCACGTACTCGATTCAATCGATAAATATTTTTATTCCTTATACGACCCGCACTCTGAACAGTCTACCGAAAGAAGTCTATTGGAACCTACCTCCAATAATAAAAATAGTTTTCCTTGTAGGGACAAAGACAAGCTCGTCTTGATTAAAATAATCTTATCACTTATGAAGCTATTGTGGAAATTAACATCGTATTTATCAAATTGGAATTGATAATGACCATGCCATGACCTGTTCTTTGGTTTCTATTTTCAGTTGTTGTGAATCTTAACATACATATACTAAAATAATAATATCATCATAAATAACAAAAAATAGTAGTATTTCTAAGATAAAATAATAAAGGTCTAAAGCCAATCACGTATTTATTAAATTGCAAAAGCTAAGTGTCACTCAAAAATTAATTGTTTATCCAATATTAATATATTATCGAAAACTCTCAACACAATTACTTAATTTATATCACAGTTGAGCTGAGTTAATGCATATCATGTATTAACTCAGTTAAGTTTAGTTGATTGAAAATAACAATTTAACGCATCAAAAGTGTATTGTTCCATTTAATATTTTATTCAAGTTAAAAGTTGATTTTAAAAAATAATCAACTTATTAAGTTAATTTAATTTTGCGATTATTTTTGTTTAATTTTGTAAAGTTGTTATAGTCATATAACAAATATTTTGAAAAAAAGGACGATCAATATTAAACACAAAGGATTTATTATGAGAATATAAAATCATAATAATTTTGAACTCAACAATACATAACCATTACTGAGCAGGATAACAGAATTATTATTTATACGATGTGATCCCAATTCATAATTAGAGGGTAAATTTTAAATTTAATAATGACAAAATGGAAATAAACTAAACGTAGTATAATAATTTAATATTAATTTTTAACTCTTTATTTGGAAAGTTAATATGCAAACGTTAAAACAAATCAAAGGTTACAAGCTAAGTTAAAAGTTAAACTAACTTTCACGTTTTTCCCTCATTTAGCCCTTGATCAGTAATAAACTTACATTTTTACAAAACAGAATAGTAAAATGTGTACCTAAATAATTTAATTTGTGCGTAAATTAAATTATTACGTAAAAAAACTTTATCCACTAACAAAAACATATCATTATTCATTATTAATTCCACGCGTTGTTTTAAAATATAAAGTATTTTGTCAAATAAACTAATGTAGTTTAATAATTATAATAAAAAAAACTCAAGATAAAATATACACACATATTTATGATTATTTATATTTATTTTGTTTTTCTTTCGAGAACAATATTCGTAGGGGAGGGAGCGGTGGGTGGCAAATCGCGAGAGAATCAATAATAATATTAATAACAACGTGTGTCCGCCACTGCGATATACATATCATTATGCCGACCTATACACCTGGGTTTTTATTTGTTTTGTTTTCGTTTTCCTCGGCGATCGGATGAGACGAGGGGCGGGTGTGGGTGGGGAGAGGGCGATGGGTGCGTTTTAAACGATCAATTTACTCCGATTCTAACATCTGGACGACAACATGCCCGCCGCCCCCTCACCGCCGTTCCGCCCCTATACGTCATGGGAGAAACGGCCGGATCGGCGGACGGGCGGCGGCGGCAGTGTCGCGCAGTCCCACGTCGTATCTAACGGGTAGTCGGCCGATGTGTTTACGTTTGTGCGCGTGCGGCGGCGTACGACAACATCACGTTGACACTCGGCCGACGAGCAATTTATTTCCGTTGTCAGACGGCGCGGTGTCTCGCCGCGGCCGAGCGTGTCGAGGGGAAGTGGCATGAAAAAAACCC